CTTTTTATCACCAAACTTTGTCAACTACAAACATCTGTGCTGATGCTATGCACCTGAATCATCCTGTCCATCTATACAATCTAACACTACTAAACCCTTTTGCAAATAATTGTACAAGATCCTCTAAGAAATTATTGGAAATACTTTTCCTCCATTTCTAATTTGATGTGTGTACGTTTTTCTCTCTTAATAATAAGTTTTTTTAAAAAATTTATTCTTTCAGCATTGTTAGTTCCTGAAATTTTATTAATCGATTAGCACTGTTTAAGTCCCTTACACACTGCTACAAAATATTCATTTTACGTTAAAAAAACAGAAAAAAACATACTTATGTTCACCTAGTATATGAAAATAGATGAGCATATTCATGTATGCTCATACTAGATGGGTAGACGAGCATAAACTCGTCTGTTCAAAGCGACAGAGTAGTATATTTATGTATACTTGTTTATTTTGTTTAAATATATGCATTATTTATTTTGGTCAGAACAGATAAATATAGTGATTTATATTCTTTTGTTCTAGTCATAAGAGACAAATATAGTATTTTTTTCTTCCCCATCTGTTCAGGACAAACGAATAAATAATAATTATTTACATCTCTTTTATCAACGTCTCTCTCTAAATAGATTTAAAAAAAATTACAAAAATAGCATATTTTATTGTAATGATGTAATCGAATCTTACCCCTCTATATAATGTAGAAATTCAACAAAGTGGTGTATAGAGTAAGGGAAAGCATTCCGTCACTCATGAAACCGATCTCTCCAAGGAATGTTACTGTGCTACGTGCAAAGCACTAAGGTGAAAATTTATCAATAAAGTATATACTATTTCGGTTTACGTGAAATATATTTATAAATACTTAAATAAGCTTATCAAAACAAATTTTCAGTTGATTAAAATTTGAAGAGATTAACAAAGCTAAATAATTTATATAACTATATCATATGTTACAATTACATGATCCTTTTAAAATACGGTGTTTTGATTAAAAGACTTATAATTTTAACATAATAAAGAATAAGAATGCAATAAAAAGAATAAAACTAGAAGGACCTAATTTCAAATATGATAAAACTACAAGCACTGCCAAGTTAATTTTTCTTATTTAATACTCCTTTTGTCCTTAATATAGGACCTAATTTAGGAGTTAATACTGATTCTATACAAAAGGCTTATCATTTTTTTCAAGTTAATCATATTAGTATTCTCCCAGTAATAATTAAGTAGGAGAAGAAGAGAAGAAATTAAGAGAAATATTTAAAATATTTTGAAAAAATATATCACATTAACTAATTTAACTAATTTTTTAATTTATTTAAATTAGTTAATTAGATTTTACATTAAGGGGATGTTTGGCATTTGAGAGAAGTGCATTTAAAAAGCACTTTTTTTCACAAATTAAGATAAATTTTTTCATATATTTATTTTATATATAATAAATTATTTTTAAAATTATAGATTGGGTTTACCCAAACAACCTCTGAGAACTGAATATTTAACCATTTGTTTGCGGGAACAGGGCAGACACGAAAGTTAATACGTGGGAGACTGTGAGTCACGCATCCAACTTTCTTCAGGTGTCTAATCTTCTCGTCTAGGTTTGGCTCCCACATTGACTATATGCTTTATTCCTTTAACTTTTTGGCATAGATTATTATATTAATTTAAAGTTTAGCAAACGGTTTATTTCGATCCAGCTATAAAATCTTAATTTATTTTGACTCTAAATTTATATTTATTTTTTGAAGTCCTCCTTAATCACATATTAGGGAGTTCTTCATCAAGGCAGTATTATTTTATAGTCTTTTCCTTTGTATCCAAAAAGTACTACTATTTTCCAGGACAAATGATTACTTTTCTGATTATTAATTTAAATGCTATTCATTTAATTTGAATAAACTAAGAAATTTAAATAAATTAATTAATTATAACATATGTTACTTAACCTTTCTAAAATAACTTAGTATGATATAATTGGGTAAATTAGTTTGAGAAAAAAAATAAATATGAGAGATAAAATACTCTAAGTAGGACCTACATTTAGAGCTAGAGGAGTAAACAGATTTATAAATCATATCGAACATGTTTTACCATAATTAAGAAAAACTGTAAATTTTATTAATTCTGCCTTAAATTTAATAAAATTTCAATTTTAGCCCATATCTAAGATATAAACTTTTTTTAAAAAATCTATGCATAATATTAATGAAAGAGTAAATGATACATTTATGTTAAAAATCTAATGATGTGAATTATAAATAGGACTAAAATTTTTTTCTCACTTTACCTTATACTATCTTCGATCCTAATTATAAGATCTTGTTTGCAGTGGTAAATAACACTAGATAAGTATAAATTAATTATCTAACTCTTATATTTTAATACCTAAGGAGTAGAATGAAAAACCAATGCATGTGAATTTTATGTTATTCTCATTCCACTCGTGAAACTTTTTTATACCAAATATTAATATTATACCTTGAACCGAGCGCACTGAACTACCACATATGACAATCTGAACTTTAGTTATAGTTAACCTAACACAGCATGCATACGATACAATAATTGTCAAAGACTGAAAGAAATTATAATAACTAATATGTACTTGCATGTTTCTAGATATATTAACTTCATGGGCTTCTATACTACGCGAAGAAAATATATTTATGTGTCTGTGTGTTTCTTATTTTGCATGTATTTGAAAATCTACAGTACATATAAAGATTAAGCCTAAACATTGCGCGGTACACCAGATTGAACTATACATTTTAAGCCTATAGTTCAAAGTGTGGTCTTGTGATTGTCTTGGTGCTGGAATATTTCTGACTCTCCTGTTTTAGTTGGTGTCACATTAAATTGCTTGAATGAATATATGTAACAGATTCCTAGAGTGATGCAAAAGTATGATGAGTATAGATGTTTAATTTGTGTAGCATATATTTTCTGTCTCTTTCCAGAACGGTAGGTGGTGGGGACAACACAGCCAGCCTGTCTAACACTTCATTATATCTTTTTTAAGCCCCCCCCCCCCGGTTCTACACAGAATGTTTAAAATCTTGTATATGCTATAGCATATAGATTTATAGACCAATCATTCTTATATCGTCTTGAATGTTAGACGAGGTTTTAATTTTGTGTATATCACGAGACAACTGAAGGGAAATAATGTTTCTTACGGTTATCATCAGATTTAACATAATTGAAATATATAACCTGAGTTGAAATATAATGTCACTTCATTACTTTACACATGGTTTGATTAATATTGTATAAAAAACTTTGTTTAATTTCCAACCATGCCATCATGCATCCATGTACTTACATTCGTTGGATTCTTTTTTGCTGAGGGAAATTCTTTTTTCGCAGAATTAGAAGGTAAAGTTTTGGTTACTGTTGGTTATGTTAAGGAAAGATACATGGCAGATCTACTTTTACAAGCTGTTTAAATATGGAGGAAGATTTGATTTGTGAGTTGAAGGAATTAACAACAGGAAAAGATGAACTAAATTTGACCTTTTAACAAAGGATCCACATGACGAGGTTAAAAAAGCTCTTAAGAAAATGAAAAATCGTAAAGTAGTTAGACTTGATGGTGCTTCCCTATCAAAGTTTAATAGGCCCGATGTGTTGTGGCTTTCATTAAGCTATTTAATGAGATTTTACGGTACAAGAAAATGCTTCATGATTGGAGGAAAAAAACTTTAATTCCTATTTACAAGAATAAAAAAATATATTCAAAAGTGTACAAGTTTACAGAGATAAGTTTACAGAGATAAAGCTTATGACCCATACAGTAAAATTATGGAAAAAAGTGATTGAACACCGATTGTGATTGGAGACTTTGCATTTCTAAGGACCACCGATTTTGGATGCATATCAGGAAGATCCACAACAGAAGTAATTTGTTTACTAAGGGGTTTATGAAAAATTATTAGAGTAAAGGAAGGGATTTCATATGGTTTTTATTGACTTGAAAAAAGTTTTACCATTTTTTTACCAGTGTAAAAACATCCAAAAGTGAAATAAACGATTTTCTTCTAAGAATTAGCCTACATTAGGGATCATCATTTTAAGTGCTTATTGGTAGTTTTGGACATTATTCTAACTGGGCTCTTATAAGAAGAAATCCCTGAGAAAATGTTTTTTTTTTTTAATGACATAGTTTCTTTGGCTGATTCAAGAGAAGAGAGATTAACTATAATTAAACTTAAGTTTTAAAGAAAGACCTTGGAGTTGAAAGATTGTCACTTGAGTAGCAGTAAGACAGAATATATTTATTAGCATTTTAATTAAAAAAACAAGTTAGAAATGCTTTAAAAGTTTAAAATAAGATAGCAAATCATTTCACAAGCGGCAAGTTCAGATATTTGGATCAATATACAATACAAAAAATATGTTAAAATTGATGAAGATGTTAATCATGGAACACAAGGCTTGTTGTTATTATTGACATTTATTGTATTGTAAACATATAAATTTTTTTTATATCAGTAAAATAAAATGGTGACAATCTGTCCACTTCAAGTTTGTTCCTTTATATATAAGAATACCGACAAAGAGATGGATTCTCATTACTATCATCATCCTCATATTTTGCGACTTTTGTCTTTCAGTTATGTAGAATTTTCCGAAATAGAATTATATCCATGACTATTAAATCCGAGAGCATCCCACAAAGAAAACAAAAAGAAAGGGAACAAAAATCATTGTCATGTTGATAATAAAGTAAACGAACCATCAATTATAGGATGGTCACCACTTTTACACGATTAATTGAAACAAAACTAAACTGTGAATAGTTTGCTCATTAAGATTTGCAGCTCTCTTTCTCTCAAGAAAGTGAAGATCACCAAACAGAAGAAGTTCAGTTGAAGGTCTAGAATATTCTGGATTCGCTTTGGATCTGGGGAAGGTGAAGAAGAAGAAGAAATAATTCCAGTCCTCATATTGAGGTCCAGCTTCAAATCAGTCCTCATATTGGGGTCCGGTTCAAATCAGGTATGCAAGATGATTCTTCTTCTCAAACCACTCGCTGCATCTGAGACTTGATCACAGTTGGAGTTGTTATCAGAAACATAATAAGGTTTTGTAATTGGCTCATCATTATTCTTGGCACTATTATTATATGATGATGATGCTGAGCTTCCAGACATTAATGGCGGATTTGGAGTTAACCGATGATTGGTCGGATCAATTCCTTTGTTTATGAGCTTTTTTCTCAGATGAGAGTTCCAATAGTTCTTCACCTCATTATCTGTCCTTCCTGGTAATCTTCCGGCTATCAGTGACCACCTATATATAACAATGCCATTGATCAATACAACAATAAGGCTCATCTCACACTAGGTTAAAATCAAAATTATTTCCTCCTTTGTTCTTGAAGTGAGAAAGCAAAACTTGAGGATTAACTTTATTAATACTCCCTCTAGTCTTAAATATATGAGCTAATTAAGAGATTTACTCTAGTCTTAAATATATGAGCTAAGTAAGAGATTTATTTTTGTCCAAAAGGTGAGAACTCAATTCATGTTATTTTCCAAATTTATTATTTTTCCTCAAACTATTTCTGCTGGTATGAAAGAAGGGTTCCATGTGTTTTACACATAATTAACTTGACAAAATTTTTAATTAATTTTTATAAATTAGTTATCAAACTTTTATGTTTATTTATTTATTTATTTATTTTTGTGATAAACATCAAACTTTTATGTTTAAAATGAGAGGGAGTTATTAGATGGGATTAAGAAATATTCGAACCGGTTTCCTAGGAGGGCATGAAGCTTGATGATGAGATCTTCTTCATCTTCAGCAAACTTGCCTCTTTTAAGGTCTGGCCTCAGGTAGTTTATCCATCTCAGCCTACAACTTTTGCCGCAGCGAAGTAAACCTGAAGATTTAACAAAACTAATAATGTGAGCATCATTTCTACTAATTCGAAAAGCCTATTAATTCAAAAAACTAATTACCCAGAAGTGAAGAGATCAAAGTAAAATATCATATATATATATATATATAGAGAGAGAGAGAGAGAGAGAGAGGTACCAGCAGCTTGAGGGAGGATACGCCAGGAACCCTCGCCATGTTTGTTGATATGATCAATGAGTTTCTGATCTTCTTGTTTGGACCAAGCTCCTCTGTTCAAAACCGCCTTCTCACAGAAAGGTTTCCTCATTCTCCCCTTGTCCTCTCACACCTTCAAAAGGGCTAATATATATATATATATATATATATATATCAGTGTGTGTGTGTAAAAACCCTAGGTAGCTAGCTAGAACAGGAAGGAAGACAATGGCAGGGGCGGTGACAGTGAGGAAAATAGCAAGTGTTTAAGAAAGAGAAAAGAATGGAGGGTGCGTAGCATCACATATTGCGTTCGAAAGTGTATATATATGTGTGTGTACAGATATACCCACGCCCACATATATATATATATATATATATATAATAAGAGAAGAAGACGAAGGAGAGAGAGAGGAAGAGAGAGAGGGAGGGCGGGAGGAATGGCTCATAAAAAAGTTGGTGCGCTCGCGCTTGGTTAGTTGTCCGCTAATTATTAGTCAATAATCACGTACCGTCCTTCCTCCATCCATTTTTTTTTTGGGCTTCTAAATTCATTCACTTTGATTTCTCCAATGAGAAGTTGACATGCGTATATAACATTGTTTGTTTCTGGTGCTTCAGCAATGGGCTTATTTGGAATATTGGCTTATAAGTAGCTTTTCAAACGTAATTTACGAAATACAAGATAAGTATATGAATAGGGTTTTATCTCAACTTGCGTGAAAATACTTATAAGTACTTTTGTAACGTTGATCCAAACAAGCCCAATATTAGAAGTACTTTTTATATGTACAAATTACTAAAAAAAAAAAGTTAATATAATAATTACATAAAAGAGAGTTTTATAATATATGTTAATTTGAAGGAACAAATTGTTGATAATATATTTTTTACCCACATAATTAATAATATATAAGATAATGTAATTAATAATTAATTAATATGTGTACATATATTTATAAAATATAAGATTATATATGTTTATAAAAAAACATAGATGGGTGTTAAAATCATATTATCATTGAGATCTACTCTAACAGGTACTTTGACACTCTTCAATTTGAGCCAGGAGCAGAATGGATTCACTTCTTCTGAAACTATGATTTTGAACCCAAAACTATGGTTTGGCCCAAACCATGGTTTCTCTAGAATTGTCCCTGTTTGGCCGTCTCTTTTTCCAAATCATGGTTTGGAGAGACAGCCAAACATGCCCATAATCTCACTTTTAGATATTCATGTAGGTGTTAGATTTTGTCCTTGAAGTGAGGTTGTAGTGTTCGATAGAGGGGGTGTTTGGATAAAACTAAATTATGGTTTGGAGATAGCTTCTAAAGAATAGATTTTAAGAGAATAGATTTTTGGGCTTGTTTGGGTAACATTCCAAATCAAGGTTTGGAAATCCAAACCATGGTTTGTGTAAAAAAGTTGCCAAACAGGGGGCAAAATTAACAAACCATAGTTTTGGGTCAAAACCATAGTTTCAGAAAAAATAAATCCATTTTGCTTCTGGCTCAAATTAGAAAGTATGATTGTGCCTGTCAGAGTAAATTTCAACCATAATATGACTTTAACACTCCTCAATTAATTTTTTTTATAAACATATTAATCTTATATTTTATAAATATATATACACATATTAATTATTTATTAATTACATTATCTTATATGTTATTAATTATGTTGGTAAAATATATTATTAACAATTTTATTCCTTCAAATTAAAATATATTATAAAATCCATGTTTTAGGTAATTATCATATTATTTATGCTTTTTTTAGTAATTAGTATATATAAAGTGTTTCTGATAACAGCTATCCAAACACTCTCACTTTATCAGAACTACTTTTTCACAAAATCTATTCTTCTAAAATCTATTCTCAAAAGCTATTCTCCAAACTATGGTTTGGTTTATCCAAATACCCCCAAATTTGTGAAAAATAGATTTTATAAAAAAGTGATTCTGAAAAAATGAGAGTGTTTAGATAGTTGTTATTAGAAGCAACTTTTATATGTGCAAATTACTAAAAAGGCATAAGTTAATAT